ACTTTGATAATTTCAACGTACTCAAAATGACAGCAATGAATCACACACACAGACACGATCGATCGATTTTGTTTTGTAAGAAATGTATGCAAAAGAAGGGAAGAATTCGATGCAGAAAAATGAGAGAAAACCTCTCTATTTATAGCCAACAAAGAGTAAAGGTCATAACCCTTTGGAAAGTAAACAACCTTTCAAAAAGGTCACAACACTTTGAAAAAGGCATAACCTTTCAGACGGTCACAACCCTTTAGAAAAGACACAACCTTTCATAAAGGTCACAACCCTTCGGCATAGTCACAACTCTTCAGGAGAATCACAACCTTTCATTTCTTGTTCACACATTTAAAATCCAACAGCGGTATGGATAGGAAAGCCACAAGTTCCGATAGTAAGCGGCTTATAAAGTCTTCTAATGTACCTGGACCGTTAGCTTATATCTTCGACTTACCGTTATCTTGTTATCAATGGATGGAAGCTACTTAAAATGAGGACCTGCTCCATCTGCAACTTCTCTTTAATCCAAGAAAATCATCATCTGTTTCTGACTGTTCTATTTTATAAATCTGTCAGAATCTGCATCATGTCTTTCGGAAGCCCTCTTCATTGAATTTCAAGTTCATTCTATGTATATTCTGTATAATACCATTCTTGCTCTTCTTCACCTACCTGGCCATCAGTTACTTCACTCATATCTCTCCTAGCATTAATAGTAGCAGCACCAGTATCCATTTCAGAATCTGCACGAATGCATGTTGTTGGGTTTTCATGAAACTCTCCCCTGTCTGGATTTACCTCCATTGGCTCTCCCATGATACCTATTTGAGACGTTCGAATTTTTGAGGCGAACTCTTCCCATGTCATGTTATTTCAATGAAGGAGCAAACTGTTAAGATTCATCGCATTTGAGCAGATAGTTAGTTTGTGATCAAAACATCTCCTGAAACACGGAAAAGATTTAAAAACTTTACCCTTTTCTGGGGTAACAAACTAACAAATAAAGTTACATGGTATTTGAGTAAAGAATATGACATTTGCAGAAGCATCATTTCGTCAAAATTATTTTATAAGATGAAAAATTATTTAAACTTTTCTGTGAAGTCAGCTAACTGATTCAAGTCAAAAACATCAAGTAGCTTACCTTCTTCTAGTGATGAGCATTCTTTCAATATTATACCATTGTTATTGGATAAAAAACATTGCTCTCATCAGAAATCATGAAATCTAACGCAATCATCCGAGAAGAAAAGGAAGAGAATGGTGTCAATTCCTCCTTGCTGGCGATTGTTTTTTTGAAATAAAATTTGGAAATAGAGCGTTGAGAGGAGCCAATGTCTCTTCTCCTCCATAAATTTCTCCGGATGCCACATAAATATGAATATCATTACCGAAACCACCAAGTGCTCAAAGCATACGGCCAATTTCCTCAGTATTGAAGGGGATTTTCCGTTCCTTCATTCCTTATACGGGTTTCTTGCCTGCAAGTAATGCCAAAGAAGTAATACCATATTAACTATAAGTAGGGGAATTGTATGGACTAATGGTTTACTAAAATAGGTAGTGACTCACATGTAATGTCTTCCACCACTTTTGATAAATTCAGCAATGATAATCATTCTTTTTTAATTTTTCATACATTAGTGAAGTAAGCAAAACACTATATGCTAGCACACAAAAAAGGAGGATAAACCATAGCAAAAATTAACATCCGTTCAAAATTTAGAAGACACCAGAGAAGTGTTTCAAAGGAGGAAAAAGACATTAAGTGAAAAGTGAATGAACTTTTTTAGTATCCTTATATGAACTCTTGTCATTATGTGAGGAGGTGTGTTTTTTTTTTTTTTTTTTAATCAACGATGCATTCATAAGAAATCTTTATTTTGCATAGTATTAGTAATGCAATCACTTTACAACCCTACAACACAATATTCATTCTTTCTCATCAAACAGATAAACATACCAAAGACGCATAGAGGAACACCTAATATATGCCGAAAAAATAGCAGGTGTAACCAATTTCCACATATCATTTACATGAGATTGATGATATCTAATCCTCCTAACTCAGCGTATATTTAACTTGCGGAAGAGAACTAAATCAACCATTATTCTTTATGAAAGCTTATATTAACTTAGGAGAACCAAGTAAAAGAGACGTGCAATGCAAGATAAGAGTAAAATTAAATGTCTGATTGATATAGCTCAAAGTCAGAAATGTTTTAATTATAAACATCAGTGAAAAAACAAAATACATCATAAACCACAAAGTTTAAAAGTGTTTTGAATATCTAAATATAGCGACCGACAAAAAGCTTTTGATTTCATATTCTTGTTGTGCATCCACCTTAAATAATTAAAGTTATAAGAAACAAAAGAGAATCAGTGATCCCCCTAGTATTACCCGGAGTGTGGCTTTTAGGCCTATTGTAAATGTAATATAGAATCTCCATTTAAAGATAGGAAGTCGTATATGTGTGATTTTTTTTTATTCTACATTGATCATGTTGGATCCAAAGATGCATCTTTTACCACCGATTTTGGATGAATAAAAGATTGAGTCCATCTTTTAGGAGAACACAAAATTATTTATCCTCTTTGCTACAGTGAGCTATATTCGTAAACCACTAAGTGTATAAATAAAGAGTCATTTTTTCTTTCATATATATTAAGTCCATTAAGTACTTCATAAATAACACGAAAAGCCTAAAACATCAAATATATATAAGCAATTCATATAGTGACTTCTTAATAAACTCTGTTAAGCTCCTTGGTGTGCAGCAAGTAAGAACCATACTAAGCACCTAGCCCAAAGAAAAATTTAGGAGTCCAAACATATTGACTGAAGCAATCATCGTCAACATAATAGAAACTTATAATCTCATGATAATATTGTTAACTATGATCAAACTTAAGGCTTTCTTACCAAGAAATAGATCTTCATATGAACACACAAAAATGAACTACACTAATATCAATAGAAAAAATAAAAGAGAAAATGTGATCAAATAACTAATATTCAACATGAATAAAAAGAAAAGAGCAATATTCATTAGAAAATAATCAATAATTTATTCGCCAAACACATAGTAAATATCATTTTATATCAATACACTTTTACTATAGAATTAAGCTAGGTGTATCTGCAGTATAAACATTTCACCAAAAAAATGGACAATTTTTTTAGGTATGAAGTCTCATATACTCCTTCCTATACCTCATATTTGCAGTTTCTTTCCTTTCTACCCAAAGTAAATGCAAATGCACACACCTGCAATTAATAAATTGAAGAAGAAAAACTCACTAGATTTCAATTATCAAGAATAGGGAAAAAATAATTTTAAAATAAAAATTCGTAAATTGAGAAAAACGAAGAGAACAAGGAGAGCCAAAAAACCAGCAACACATAAAAACAACTAATGAAATATAAACTCAATGCATGCAACACGACTTCAATCCAAGTACCAAATAAATCAGCAAAATTGAAATAAAAATTAAGCCAATCGACTGAAAAATAGACTAAAGGAGCCCTAAATTCAAAAAGTAAAAACTTAAAACCAAATCTAACAGTGACAGGCCGATCTCGCGAGAAAATATGATTAACTTAAGCATAAACAAATGGAAGAAGAAGATGCAAGAGGTATTTTTGGATAGATAATATGGTTAGTGATTACATGTCAAACATTGTTAACGTGAAGAAAAAGATAAGAGTGAAAACTCACCAGCAGAAAGAAACACCATTTTCATTTTCAGCCTAAAAGAGTGTGTGAAATAAGGCTTAGCATGATTTGCTATTCCACCATTTGAGAATTGCAGACACGTGTAAAAGAAGCATATACACTTGTTTAATAGCCAATAAAATAGGTCCATACAAGGCAGAGATAAACTAGAGTATAAATATGCAGTTTGCGCAAATAAGAAGTTGATAGACTTGACAAGAACTTGTACTGATTATTTTTGGTGTGTGCACGGATAGTCGAGATGTTGACACATTACTAGAATTTGAATGATAGTCCAAATATGTTGACACATTATTAGTAATGTTTGTAAATGCAGAATGTTTCTAACAACTTTGAGCATTCTCCCTTTCTTACTTTTTGATTATTTCGTTTGGGTGTAAATTTGAGTCAATATTTTATGTAGTCTACCTTATCAATGATTTTGTAGATGCTTGAGTGAATAAATTTTATTTCCATACTTGATCATCCCTTTCGCTAATTCATATACACAACTTGAATAAACTGTTTCTTTGTAATAAATGATATATATATATGCATAATACATGAATATGATTCTTAATTTGGTTTTAATTGACAAATGATAAACTGTGATTTTTAACTTTGTCAATACAAATAGAGACTTTAACTATTTAAAACTTGAACAAATAAACATTCAAATTTTATCTCTGATACGTGTGACTTGTGTGTATTTCACACATTTTATCATGTAACATTTGAGTGTTTATTTATTCATATTTTAAATAGCTAAAGTACCTACTTATTAAGACGTCATTGGGTAGAGTATATTAAAAATAATAATGCATGCATTGGCCTTGTGTATTACTAGTATCTTGTTTGATACTCTGTTCCAACCTATGTATACACTATTGTGTATTAAAATAAAGTGTGTATTGCTAATACCATGAATTTCTAGGTATTAGCAATGCAATGATGTTAATGCAGGGAAAAAAACATAAGTAGACACTTTTACATAAATAATAACATATATATGGCCTATTCAGTGAATAACATTTATGGCAATTTAATATTTACTTCCTTAACCTTTTCGCATTCTAGCAATTTAGTATTTACTTTCTTAACCTTTTTGCATTCTGAATAGATCGTGTTAAAATATGAGAGAAATTTAAGGCACCATGAACTCTTCAGTTCCTTTTTTAAAGATAAAAATAACTGTCATTCATAAGAATTCTACTAAATCAGTCTTCCTTCTACAAACACTGTTATTTGGGAGACTATACTTTTTTTCTTAAACTGAAAATTACTCACATGGAAGAAGAAATTACAATTTTGGTTCAACACAATGGTAAATGGGATAGTGAATACAATTTCAACAAATTCATAGTTGATGGCGTGACACTAAAAGTGGATTCGAATTTGGATACCATTCATGATGAAATAACGAAGAAACTTGGGGTTTATGCTTCTACTGATACAATTGAAATTAAATATTCCGTGAAGCAAAATTATACTCCAATGAAGATCTACAATGATAGGAGTTTGAGATGGTATTTGGATTTGAAAAGAAAAAGTTCCTTCACAGATTTTCCTTTGTGTATAACATTGAAGGAAAAAAACTGTGACGGAATTTTGTCAAATTCGAATCCCATCAATTCAAGTTCTAATTCTACCCATGATATGCAACTGGTAGAACGCGTTGAACTCACTCAAACACTTATTTCAATAGACAAAAAATACTTGCATGATGAAATGGAAAGTGACGAAGATGGTATAATCGACAACAGAGTTCACAAAGACATAAAAAAAAGGTCAGTTGTATATGAACAAGGAGATACTCCAAGATGTTTTGAATCACATTTCCATCAAGGAGAATTTTCAGTTCAAAGTTAAGCATTCGAGTACAACGAGGTAATATAGAACTTCAACTAATAGTAACAATTATTTTTATAAGTTGGTATCAAATTCGTGGTAGTACTTGTTGTTGTGTTTGCTGATGCCAACAAAAACTTTTAGTATATACGACTTGGTATAAAGAAAATTCTAGTATATAATAATTGGTATATAGTATGTTTTGGTACATAATACTTGGTATAAAGTATATTCTAGTATTTAATACTTGGTATAAACTATATTCTAGTATATAATACTTGGCATAAAATATATTCTAGTATGTTTTACTTGTTAAAGAGTGTCTTTCAAAATAAAACACTTGGTATAATATTTGAGTATAAAATACATGGTATATTTCCTTCTTTGAGGAATTGAACCGTGTAATAGTCATGGTCCAGATAGTTCCATCAGCATGACTTTGGTTTTACTAGTAGGAATTAAATCAAGTATTGTACCAGATTGGGTGTATGGTGTTGCTAATACTTTACTGAAGGATTTATTTGTGGTCTCCTTATTGAGCTCTTCAATTTTGCAACTATAATCCATATCCATGGAGTTATTGCAACTATAATCCACATCCATGGAGTTAGTGTTGGAGGAATCAGGTTAAGATAATGGATTGGCAATGTTAGAAAACATTTTATATGTTTCCTAGAGAGAAGCCTATAATCATGCAATTAATAGGAAGAATTCATGGTAAAATCTCAAAAGCTTCAAATCAAATATGTAGCATATATAAAATATTTTTACAACTATTAAACTTCAGAATTCTTGATCTTAATGATCCTTGGAATAATATTCTATAATATGTTACAATCACGATATGATGTCAATTAATTTTGCAGGTATTATCTCGTGTGTGTTGATGATCAGTGTTCATGGTATTTTAAGTCTTCCAGCCTTAATAATTCAAATATATTCAAGGTGAGAAAAATTTACAATGTTCACACATGTGGAAATGAGTCGAGATTTTTTTCACAACGTCATGCTACTTCAAAGTTTGTTGGAGGCTTGATAACGAGCAATGTGGACGATCCTAAGACAATATATACTCCAGCTGATATACAATGTGACATTAGAAATCAATATGGTGTTGATTTGAACTACATGAAGGCATGGAGGGTAAAAGAAAAGGCACTAGAGATATTAAGAGGTAAACCTAGAGATTCGTATTGAAAGTTGCCTAGCTACTTGTACATGGTGAAGCATACAAATCCTGGATCTGTTACAAGATTGGTAAAGACAGAGAATGGACGTTTTTTATATGCTTATGTAGCTCTTTACGCCTCAATTAAAGTATGGGAATATTGCATGCCTGTTGTTGTTGTTGATGGTAGTTTCTTAAAAGCAGCCTACAGGGGAACAATTTTGACGGCTTGCACACAGGATGCAGCAGGTTAGTTTAAATTGAATGTCTATTGGTTATTAAACGAGTTCGGATAAATTTTTCAAGAATGTTATCTACTTATTCACATTATATATAGTCTACTATTAGAAATATTTAAACATGATTTTGTAGCCTAATTCATTATATGTGTATTTTACCAATGAATCAGGTAAAAATACTTTCATTAGCTTTTGCTGTAGTTGATTCAGAGAATGATGCATCATGGAAATGGTTTTTCGAAAGGATCCGAGAGACCTGTGGCACAAGAGAAGGTATGTGTATCGTATCTGATAGGCATGAAAGCATTCTGAACGCCACTTCTGTTGTGTATCCAGGGGTGCCTCATTGTGTATGCTTATACCACCTTTGGGGCAATATTAAGAAAATTTTCAGGAAGCACCATAAGGTCCTGAGAAAAATATTTTTTGTAATGGCTAACGCATACACAACAGAGGAATTCAATCAATACATGACTGAGACCTATAGCATTGACGAGAGGGTGAAAGAATACTTATTCGATATTGGATATCACAGATGGTCAATTGCACACTCAAATGTTAATAGATTCATGGTGATGACTTCAAATATTGCCGAATTTGTGAATGCAGCTGATAAGGAGGCCAGAGATCTTATATATGATTTGGTGGATTACTTGATGAAGATGATTGGTCGCTGGAACAATACAAACAGAAATGAAGCAATTGCAACAGGCACAACACTCAACACAAAATATGAACACCTAATGAGGGAGAAAATGAAGGAATCACAGGGAATGATGGTATATAATCTGTTTGTGATATATCGTTTTTTATACATTGCATAAAAGTTGGTGTACTACCTCTAAAAATTATTTTTAAAATGTAGGTTGTCCCATCAATGGAATATTTGTATACAGTTTATGATGGAGGTAAACGTCATATAGTCAATATGCGTGAAAGGATATGCACATGTAGGCAATTTCAAATGGATGTTATGCCGTGTAAGCATGCTTTGGCTATTGTGAGAAAATACTACATGAGTGAATATGAATATTGCTCTGTATACTACAAGAAAGATAACCTATTAAACACATATGAAGTTCCAGTGTATCCTATTCCTGACGAGAGTATATGGGAAATTCCTCCGGATGTTGCAGCGGATATTTTCCTACCACCCAAAGGAAAAATCAAACCTGGCAGGCCACAAAAGATAAGGTACAAAAACGGTGGTGAATCAAGACCAAAGAAGTCAAGAATTACATGCGGAGTGTGTGGACAACAAGATCACAATAGGCAGACATGCCGAAACATTCCGCAAGCAACTTAGCTTTTTAAATTTAGTTCTCAAATTTTATCTTTGCCTTCTTCTTTTAGAACATAGTTGGCTAGTATTTATGCTTATTTTACTCTGTTTTTTTATAATTAATGTATTGAGTCTCATGTTTGAAGACTTTTTTCCTGTTTTTTATTTCATTTGTTGTCTAATTAAACTTATATTATATATATATATATCAGATGTCATTTCGAATATAGTTGTCAATAAACTTGCAGCTTGAAATGAAATAATGTGTTTTCTTTTTCTTCTTTTAAAGTGAATTTAGATATACCTAGATACTAACTTAGATGCTCTGCCATTACTATAAAAGCTACTGGACATCAATGGTATCGGAGTGCGCCTCTTCACTAGGGTGATTAAAGTGCAATGAAATGCCTTAAAGTTGAATATGGTTCGCGTTGCTACGCTATAAGTTGCCACCAGGATAAGTACAATCATTGTAAACTAAGAAAAAGAAGAAAACAAGATGTCATTTGTTGACAGAAGCAGGGCCAATTAATCGAGCAGAGCTCCAATTCCCTTGGCAATTGACGTACCAATTTAAATACTTGGGCATTCTGGTCCTAAGGAATTCCCAGTTCCTAAGGAGGTTTGAACTCCTTTACCTAATAAATTAGTTTGGGTCGATGATTGTTAGACCTATCTAGCAGTTACGACACTCCTATAATTAAGGTACGAACTCCAGCAGATGACATCATTAGTACCAAATCAGCATTGTGTCAGATGCTATAGGATAGGAATAATATTACTAACTTATCACGTAAGAAACCAACAATTGTTATTAAAGACAATCGCATCACTTTAAGGTATGAACAAACTCTTTAAACCAAATTAGAATAAAAAGAACTCTTCATAAGAATATGAAAAAATAAAATTAATATCAGTTCATCACTTAATTAAAATAAACAAAGTAATGTACTATTTCAAAAGTTAATCCATAATACCAACTTAACTATAAAAGATCAGTGACTCAGACACTCACAATCTTAATTCCAATTCCTCTTAATTTCATAAGATATAAGCTAATTATTATAATGCTTTACATGATCAATTTTTTTCATTATTCCCGACGATTTAGATTCACTAGAAATATGTTTCTCTAGTTTCATCTTGCCATAATTCCACAACAACGATCCAAACTTGATGCGATGTGTATTGACATCAAATTCATTGTCAAACACATTACTACCACATATGAATCTTTCCGCAAACAGAGCAACATAAATGCCACGATCCCTGTAATAAAAGAAAAATCAAATAACATCAATGATTAAAATTTTAAAAGAGTTTACCCATGTTTACTTTAGTGATTTTAGAAATAAAAGGCACTTACGCATCTTGTTGTAACGGCAAATCTTTAATCATCACAACATTGGAAGAATCAACCAATGCCTTATTCTTATACGGTCCATTATTTAATTGAATATCAGTCCTTTTTCCAAAGAAATTCAAAATCAAGAGGAAGAGCGGGATAATAAACCTATATGCATCAACAGAACTGCGAATATTGGCTCTAAAAGCAACATCACCCATCGAATCATACACATTTATCGATCTATCTTTAAAAGATAATCTTGCCATTAACCATTGATCATCAACACAAAGAGGAAACAATATGTGATCAACAGTATGCCACAGCCTATTAGAAAACACAAATTCACCAAGAATGTACTTGGCTATATCATGTTCAGGCTTCACCACATCACCATCTCCATTATTTTCAATGAATTTCTTATAAAGAGCTTTTATCTTGAGATCAAATAGATAATCAGTTGTAGTGAACTTCACTGGAACATCATCACACATCCCTTTCTTTCTGAGATAATAAAGGATAACATCCAAATGTTGTCATAAAATTCAAAATATTACTATATAGTTCATAACCAAATAATCAATCACATTAAGGCCTCATTTTTTCAAAACTAATTATACACAATTATTTCATATTTACATACCGAACTTTCCAAAGTTTGACCACCAAACGCGAACTTGTGGAACCAATCTTTCTTATTGATAATCGTCTTTCCAAATTCAAACGGAGGATTGAGAGTATTGTCCTTTTTAATGTAAGGATACTTCCTATAATTATAAATTTGTATATTAGAAATACGTTATAATTAACAATACAAACACCTATAAATATAATGAAATACTTACTTGTTGCGTGGTCTACGACCTTCATTCATCCATTCTCTAAATTCACCCATCTCCTTGAAACATTTGTCATCAAGAGTAAAACTTCCAAAAGGGTGAACTACTGTTACAATACTCTTGGAAGAGGCTCCTGCACTCATATTGTCACCTAATCCATTACTATTCAGATATGGAGATTGATGTAATGGGCCGAGACGCCTATTTCGTGTGATATGTCATGTCACAATGTTTTCTACCTCTGAAAAATAAGACTTATCAATCCCGTTTATGTGCAACTTGGCATGTAAATGGATGAATCTGAGACTCTGGGACATCAATATAATCTATCGATAAGATTTCTGGAGCTAACTCCCTTGTTTCAACTTCACCAACTGAAAATGTATAACAAATAATACTTGTAAAATCTTACAATATGGTTAGTAGTTGTCTATTCTAAGAATATATATCAAGGATACAATATAAAAATGAATTTTTTTATAGATATATATATATATATATTTTTGCTTGTATATTATACCTAGTATAATATATCTTATTAGTTTAAAGATCCCATTACATTCAAATTAATATTGTTTATGTACCTCTAATAAGCTATTAATAATAACATTACTCATACTTGGTATAAGATTTAACATACCAATTTTGGATTCATTGTTGGAATCTTCATTGATGGTTTGAATATTGTCTAAGTGAAGAGTAACATGTTGGTCACAATTGATATTATTTTCATAATATTCTTCGTCACAATCAACATTCACGCCTCTGCCTCTAAATTCTTCATACTGCTATTAATTAAAAATACATAAGTAAGACATAAAATACACATAGGCATAAACATATTTTGATCTACAAAATTAAAAAGATACTAATTGAATACCTTAGAATCATTGTTTCTATCAACTTTATCGCTTAGAGCTTCAATTGCGTTGAAATTTTTTGAGTCAGATTCCATCATGAGCTTCTTTAAACTATGAACTTCCTGTTTTATCTAATCAACAAACAACATAATCAAAATACTTCTCACAAATATAGTATATTAACACCTAAAAAGAAGGAAAATTCACATACTACTTGAAAGTCTTCCCTTAACTCCTTCTGTCCATCAGATATGCGTCTTATCGCATCAATCACATTCATATTATTCATAGGAGGTACAGATTTAGGTTTGTTTTTCGTTTTGCTTGAGACAAGAGGTGGTGTAGTACTAAAGTCGTCATCAACTAATTGACTTGCAACTTCAACTCCATTTGATTCATCATTCACCACAACGTCGCCAACTAAATCATTCAAATTCATCGCAGACTTCTCAAAAGGAGTTGCAGAAATATTCCTCACCTTCAACTACATAGTAATTTAACAACAATACAAATTAAGCATATAATTAGTCATAGTTGCAGTTCATAAAGTATAAGAAAAAATCACCTTTGTGGCAGATAACATCTCTGAAACCTTGGTTGAATTTGAGCTATATAACACGTTCCAACTTAAAATTCGTGGTATCCTTTTCCCAATCATAATAGCAAATTGTTCATTTGATTGCGCACAACACTCATAAAACCAAACTTGAAATGCTAAAAGAAGTCCATACAATTTACTAAATTTCTTTCCAATCTTTCCTCTTAAAACTTTTTTCAAGGATGCAAAGGTCTCATGAAATACTAATTTTCCCCACGGATAAGTTTCATACTCACCAGACTCGACCACTTCAAAATGCCAATTGGGTACTTTATTTTCAGGGAGGTCACACAACAAAAATGTGTTAATAAAATGAAGAATCGAAATTTTGACAGCATCTTGATCAGTTGTCCAACGTTTACCTTCAAAAAAATCAGCTATTGTTTGAGCAGTAATCTTTTTAATGCCATCAAAACAACGATCAATCAAGTTATTTTTTTCCCATGAATTACAATTTTCGTTTTCCACTCCATTACATTTTAGTCCTGTCATAATGGCAAATTCACCTAACCCAAAATGTATCAATGAACCATTCACTAGTAGCCAAATCTCATCAGTGTTTTCTTGAACAACCTCCATCATCAATAAGGAATGTATCAATTGTGTTTGAATCATCACTGGAGGTAATTTGAGAAAAAATCCAAAACAAGTGTCACTAAATATTTGCAACTGACTCTTGGTCAACTTCTCTTCAAACGATTTGACGAAATCTAGATTAGGAGCGCCAAGCTTAGGTTTTTTATGTTTGCCAACTTCAAAATATAATTCCCAATTCTGCACAATACAAAGTTGAAATTTTAGAACTAACAGTGACAATAGTATAAAAGTTATATGGCTGCAATTAATATGCTCTTATGGAACATATGCACGTACAAGGATAATTCGTGCATAAAGACAATTCACTCCTATTAAAGTAACATACACTTGTTGGTGTATATTACTAAACAATTCTCGAAGTTCAATAAAAAAAAATATTAAAATTACAAAATACTTTGCAACACCTAAGTCTCATGAATACAATACCTTCAATTTAGATTTTTGTGGTGCAACTTCAATAAATTTTCTCCTTTTGACGTTGACACTCCGACCTTGATCTTCAGGATCAAATGCAATAGATTTTCCTTTTTTGATCTCGTCCAACTTTCTCCTTCTCAGGTACTCCTTTGACCTCTCCTCCTTCCGTCGATCAACAACACTATGATCAACTGTCGGTAGTGGCAAAACACTACCACTTTGAATGTTACAACAGTTTGAATGGGACATAGGTGTTGGAGACAACAAACGAAAGTTAGGCTC